CATAGCCAGCCGAAGCATTCCAAAGTATCTACAATTTCCCGGACAATCGATCGAGGTATATGCCTAGACGGACACTTGAAGCCGCAGAAGCTATTGCAATTCGACTGCCCGAACCGAACCTGTGCACTCAGAAGCCATTTGTTCAAGCCTTAGAGCTGTCCCGGCCCGATCGAATAGTGATGTTTACTCAATTGGATCGCGTGAAGGCTCAGACATCGACCTAATTAATAGCGATATCTGACCTCTTCTAAACTGCTTTTACCCCGTTTTAACGACCTCAGCAGTTTATCTACTTGATGTAACTAGTAGGTAATTGTACTTAAAAGGGAGAGGAATTATCAAAAACATATCTTCGCTAACACTGACTTCTGTACTGATTTTCTGGTCACTACTTCCTCAACCTTGGATAATACTTGGTCGTACTTCTGAGATGATAACTGCACACTTTTTCTCCGTGTGACAGACGTGCATTCCACAAATAACCAGAGATAATCTGGTTTGCTTCTAGGAAATCTCGCCTCACTGGGTTTCAGTATTCCGCGTTTCGCATTTAACATTTAACACAGTTGGAGCAAGGGATACCCCCTTTCCCAACTTCGGCAAATGAATCACATAAGCATTTGTCCTGGGGCCCTCTAGGCATCACGATTGCTAAGCGATTGTTATGACTGATTAGACAGATTCAACGTGATATTTAGCGGTTTTTCTCTTGGTGCCAACGATGCAAGTAAGATCACAAATTTCGTATCGCGAGATGTAGTTTCTGTGCGTTCCTGTGGCGTACCGGCCAACTGCGTCAGCGTGCCCGTGAGGCAGATCTCAAAGTGGTTTGATAGCTTCGCAGCCGGGCCTGTGGATCGCATTAGGGTGGACTCGCTGAGAGAATGAGTGGAGTTCGTTGCTGGGCAACGTAAGTTACCTTGTAGCTACGCACATAATATTGGGCTTGAACCATTGAGGGCTTATTCGAATGTCGCTTGAATGCTCTGTCGAGTGAGACCAAAAATTGGGACCGATGGTTGGAATAAGGAAATGTGGTGCGCTTGCATATTGATTAAAAGTGGTCCAGTATTTACAATCCCGGATAACTATGGGAGGTACTGGTAATATTCCTGAGAGAATGAGTGCGAGGGGTGTTCCTTGTTGATTCAAGACAACTAAAGGCAAACCTAGTGATATGTGAGAAAGTGCGACTGAATGCTGCCGGCACATTAACACCCTGCTTAACGTCGCTACATTCAATTGTGTACTATTTTATGACTTATAACAAAGCGACTGGATAGCTGTATTAGGCGAATTACTGTTCTAAATAACCGAGTGGTCTAATAAAGGTTAAGCAGCAAATGCAGGGTACGCTGCTTGGCAGAACAAGCTTCCTGTGGGTTCAGCTGTGTGGTTCGGGTAAATCTCGCTTCAGCGAATAGTGCAGCAGCAGTGTTTCAGGATGTGGTGAGTTTTGCTTGGCATGCGTTTTCGTTATAAAAAGCCACAAATGTCAATAACAACAATGAGACGTGGCGGATGTGACTCACCAGTAGTAAAGTCACTGCTCCTTGTCTGTCCTAATGATCGTATCCTCTCCGCAAACGTCAGTCAACCACCTAGAAGGTTTCTTTCGGGCGCTTCTTACCCAGACGATATGCATGAACATAATCGCGAATACAGCAGCACGTCTACAAATTAATGGGTCCAGCTTGCTACAAACAATATATCTGGCGGCATCCTGTTCCCGATTTGCATGTTACTGCTGTCTCCATAACACAACCACAGGAGGCCTGAGTCTACATAGGGACCATGGGTGACTTGCGCTGTACCACCTACAGCTCCATCCACCCACCAACCCCATATCCAGTGTAAACCAGAGAAAATAAGAGCAGGAGACATGAGGATGGGAACCACGTTTCATCAACCGAGCCGGCGCGCAGTCCCTCAACATGCTCAGCGCCAGCATTCTTCTCTATATTTGCGGTGAATCATGTGTGCTAGACGTACACAAGGCGGTGGCTTGGCCGTAGTCCGCTCCAGACTGGATGGGACTACACTTCGGGCCTAGCACCGTCACAAGAACCGTGCACCCATCCCCTCCAGCAACGATCAACTGTTTGCTGAAGCTCATGTAGACTAGGTGGTGGGTAATGGACAGGAAGGTACCTTGTCAAAATTCACATCAAGTTCAGCCATCCCGGGGATATCAATCAACAATCAATCCTTGAAATGCAAGAAACTTAACATGTGGGCACATGTACGGACAATCTGCAACGACGATGCGGTACACGTACCCCATCAGCCGCCTTTTGGGCCTGGGTTAGGAAATTGAACAAAAGCGGACACAGAGCACCTACCAATCGCTGCGCTGCTTATGTTTAGTTAATCAGTTGGTTCATCGTCTTCGGCATGGTGGCCGCAGGTGAACACGCTGGAGGCTTACCAAACCCCCTTGGCTCAGGCGCTCGCGAATGCATGTATTACAGCACCATGCGCTCGACGACAATAGCTTAAAATCCATCAGCGCCTGTCGCTTCTGTACTCGACGTTTCTCCTCCGCATGCAGTAGTACCCACTCCTGCATCTGCGTAATCGCCCCCTTAATCGCCTCACGCCGTTCGCGACGATCAACTGCCCTTGATTTCCAAGACCTTAAATCCATATTAGTTCGTGATAAACTCACATTGATCATGTCCTGGTAACGCAATTTCGGTTTGCCAAGGTGTCGCTTCCCTACACTAAGTTGTCCATATAAGACGTGCTTGCGTATCCTCTTCGACTTCATTTGTGCTGATATACCCTAGCCACTTCACATGCTGCAGCAGAAGTATGTAGTCCATTGCATGCATGCGACTGCGACGCAGCACTTCCGTACCAGCAACGCTGTCGCACCAACCGATGCTTAGAATCCGTCGCATGCACTGTTGATGAAATCGCACCAGCTATCTGACGTCCTTGCGGTACACCAGCTAGGTTTCGCTGCCGTATACAAGAACAGACAGTACCACCTACTTGTATACCAGCAGCATTTAAAATGTCTTGGAAAACTGGTAGCTCGGGTTGATAATTCAGTTGCTCATTTGTTCGCCGAGCTGCGAAATTGGTTTGCAAACGTTTCACCGTCATGCGAGACGGCATCATCAGTGCGTCCAGATGTGGAGTGTAATCTCGCTGATTGAATTGTCGAACCGTGATCGGCGTGCAGGTGACATTTCGAAAGTGACGGCTTCTATCTGTGTCCCGTGATCTCTACCCATTTCCCCGTGGCGGAGATCGTCGCTTGGGTTGTTCCTATTCAAGCGGCATCTCATAATTTCTCAAAGTTCTCTCCGTCGGAGGGGTTGGTAAACTGGGTCAATCTCGATATGCATGTTGTTCGAGTCTTTTGTTGAGAACCACGCTTCCAGGAATTCCCTTGCTCTTCTTGTTTCACCTCGTGCCATGACGGTGAAACGTTTGCAAACCAATTTCTCAGCTCGGCGAACAAATGAGCAACTGAACCAGCAGCATTGTTCCAACAATAAGATGGCGGTTGTTCCACACGCTTTTCCAAAATTCCAAATGCAGCAGCCGCTTTCGATGCGCGGACAAGTAGCTCACGCATCATCTGCAGATCGGTCGAAGGTACGCTACCCACGTGGCGAAATATCGGAGTAGTTTCCATGGCGATATGGATTCGCGTTAAATATACTGATCCAGTTTCTGGTGTAGGCTAAAAAAAGGCAAACAGTCTTGTTTGTGTTGTTAGTGAGCTCGAATTGAGTCACTTTCGAAGCGACAGCCGAAGTCCTGTGTTGCAACTCCTCCGCGCCGTGTGCCAACGACGCACAATCGTCAGCCAACAGCAGTCATCCGAGGTGTGTCCACTCAGCTGCATCCTCGCCCGCCTACCGCTGTGCAAGCATTCAATTAAACTTACAAACTTACCCAGACAACTAAACGTACCCAACAACAGCCAAAATGCCTTGGGGTTCACCGTATCAAATGCCATGGTGAAGTCTATAAACATGGAGTGCAACGACAAGTGTCGCTGTCTGCATTTATCCTGCGAGTGATGAGCCGCAAACACCATATCGATGGTTCAGCGACCTGAGTGACGAGGCGGTTGAACAGGATTCAGACGATCACCTTATTCACACTGCTCAGCAAGTCGATGCCACGATAATTCATGCAACATTGCTTGATCCCTTTGCCCTCGTACAGTGGCAGCACAGGGGAATCCTTCAGCTCAGGAGGCACCTCTTTAATCCACACGCGTTTCACCAAATGGTGTGTCGCATTTGCCATATATCCATACAAAATTTATTCAGTGGTAGCAGTAAACTTGTGACGTTTCTACATTTATAGCCAACTCTTGCACATTTACCGTCATCATGCTTATGTATAAGTGCATCGCATTGTCGAGAATATACCATTTATTTATTTAGTAAAAAATTCATTGATTCTGACTGCGGTCAATTCTAGCCATCCTCCTGACCAGTGTACCTACAAGTTCAGGCTTGCTACTTTTATATAGCTAGTAGTAAAATTACAACGGAGAATTAGGAATTCATAACGGTTGCCACTGTAATTGCTCCAATTGCCTAGTGCGCAGTTTATTTCGTTTAAAACATAATTTTGTTGTTTTAAGCCGTTTAGAAGAAGTTGCTTTCGCCTATGGCAACGGAGATATCCTGATTGGAAGCTTCACCCTCAAAACGGTGTAAGAAAAATATGGGTTGTATTCTGTAGGCGGAGGGCTTGGGGCAACTTTGATGGGTTCAAACCTTCTGCTCAACCATTAAGAGCAGGCACTTCTTACTACTGAGTCCTCGTGGCTAATGCTTAGGCGTTTCCCGCATGACTCCATCATATGCATCGTGTATTCGATATGGGTTGGAATGAAACTTGACTGCCTACAACTAAATTGAAGCTTACTGGGTCCTGGCATTCAAGCGCTGTACACATTACTCATTGGTAACATCATACCGTTTCCCATGTGCCGAACTGACTTCACCATGCTCTCCGCTTTGCAGAGAATGGTATCGGTATGCGGATAGTCGGTGGACATGTCCGGTCAGACGGACGACTGGGTGCATTTGTGGAGGAAATTGATCCGCGAGGCTCCGTAGATCAACTTCACGGTGAAATCCAAGAAGGTATTTCCATTGATTTTTGTTTCCGTGACTTTGACTGAACACAAGCTGGTTAACTGATGTTCATAGTTCTTACCTAAACCAAGGAGCAGTCAACATCTGCTCGTATGTTTAAATTCTTTTTTGATCACATAAGCTTATGATTGTGTCTTACCGCGTACCCGTTCTGCATTTTATTTCAAGCAGTAAATTTTTCCCCTCAGCCGGGGATTCCAATAGCTTATTGTATTCACAGAACATAAGCACTGTATAGGTTCGTTAACAAGTTTGGTTTGTTGAAGCTAACTTGTGCTTTTACGAATGCTTCTCCGCTCAAATTACCCAACCTGATGATAATGGCAGTGAATTACTATTTACTATCCACCAATAGTGACTCTTAGACTAGACCCAACCTGGTGAGGTGTTATTTTGAATTATCGTGCTAGACTCTAGTTGCGAGGCACTCCTTTCTGTGAGTACCTATACAGTATAGGCTGGACAGATTTATAAACCGTGCGACCAAATTCAATCCATATTCTGATGGGTAAAGGGACATTTATGCAGCGTCACACCTCGCGACAGCTGCATCGCTGACATTTAGTCTCTGTCCATGAATTTAGCGTAGATTGCAACTAGGAACTGATTATCTGAGTACTACCGTAAGCAACTTTTCTGCTTTATATTGAGCCATGTTGAATGGCTAAATTGCGATTTATCAAACGCGAAGTCTTCACTCAACGCGCCGGTATGTTTGTTCCATCCTTCTTGGCAATTGGTGAGTGTGCTTGTCTTCGATCTGACAAGATGGTGAGTGCTGGTGCTTTGTGTTGAGCTGGGACCACACGTTTGTACCCCTGACATGACTAAGCGGTCATTTGTGACGCGACACAGCTCATACGGCTGTGACACTTTGCTGTTGTCTCCTAAAATTGAGTAGCCGGAGCAATCTCCTTCCCAACTAAGCTAATCAAATTATGGCATTTGGAAGCTTAGTAGCTTTAACGTTCAGCTGGCTTTCACGTCGTTAGTGAGTCATGATGAAAACGAGTCTGCAAATGTACTCTAGTTTGGTTTGGAGCAACCAGTCAACAGAACTACAAGTGGTGCAACCGGGCCATGTGAACACCATAGACAATTCCATTTCCCGTTGGTTGCTGGCGGTAGAGAAATCCTCCCACAATGTCAAATGGATCAACTTACACATCACGTAAAGTGCAAAATTGCGTTTTGCTCCCTCAAATGCAATCTTACCTCGTTTCTCATGTCTACTTGATACAGCATACTTCCAATCTTTTAATTTCAGGTGACGAAATACTTGAATGGAATTCTGTGTCGTTGGTCGGACGAACCTTTGAGGAAGTGCAAGCTATCATCAGTCAAGTGACGGAGGAGACAGAACTGCTTGTCAGAGCGTAGGTGACTGCATTTTACTCCTTACCTCACATCTTATTGCTAAATAGGACGGCTTACTTCATTTTTAAGTGGAACTAACTACGTTAATCCAACTTACCTCATGAATGATGGAGGATGGTGCTATGTCCTTGACAGCTGACCTTTATCTACGTCTCTCGTTGCATTCACTAAGAAAGAGGACAAACCCAGCATTCTACCTAACGAGACTTCAGTTAGGTAACCATAGGGTGACGATCTAGGGAGCCTATAATTAGGCTTGTATGCAAACCGGTGATTGTTGTCGTCCATATGTGACCGATTCCTTCCAAGGAGCCGGCTCCAATTGGTATGAACCGACCAACCTATATTCGTAATTGTATGGAATATGAGTGTGCAAGTATGTCTTCTTAACTCCCCAGAAGATCAGTTGGGTGGCAAGTTTTGGCTAAATTGTGAACGCACTGACAGTAACGAGGGTTTGTTGCAGTTATGCGCTAATCATCTGCTGTTAATTTGCAGCCCAGGTTTCAGGCTCAGTGGGCGCGGATCTACCACGGCGTCCTCCGATAACTGGTCAGCGATGGACTGAAATGAACCACACTGCTAAGACACTCCAATGACGCGGTTCATTCCTAGACTGTTGCTCTTCCTGGGACATGTAGCTAGAATCTGATCAACCTGCAGTACAGTACCGTTTTCATGAATTTCATCGGGAAGCATATCAAAGGTTTCTCTCGACTGACTACTAGGAAGTTATCTCAGCCTTCAACTGGCAAGCCCCTGTAGTGGTGGCTGGGGAGCGAGCACCAATCACCCCAGACTGAGGTCTCGCTTGCTCACTTCGATATCCCCAAAGCGACCCCGAATGAGTGTGTGAAAATGGCGAGAATAGCATTCCAGGGGATGCCGCGAGAGGGACAAATGAATGAAATGCGCCAACTTCTGAGTGACACACTGACGCGAGGTATAAGACGATCTTGTTCTCTTTGAACAACAGGTTTGTTGATCCAGATCCAGACTATATTTTTGATTCACGGAGGACCATCACGAAATGATGACAGAGGTACTAACGTGTCGAACTCCGCTCACCAGTGATGAGTAATCATTGATCCAATTGCCAATTCTGTTGCAGATAACGGAAAGCCCATTGTTGGAGAGTTTGGAAAACCAAGTGGATGGACTTTGCTGTGTTGATTCAGTTGGACGAATATTCGACGCCATACCTCTTGGCCAGTACGCTATCGGCAATGAAGCGATGCACTTAACGCAAACTTGGAATCCCTGTGATCATGACGGAGAACTGGAGTGCTCGCATATAATCAAGAGATTCGGATATTATTGTGTCACTCGGTTGAATCGTTTCGCTGGATGCACCCGATCGAGCAGTGTCCGTTCAGTGGACGGTGGCCAGCAAGCAAAGCAGCATCCCACAAAAAATTGCGCAGAGGGCCATAGAAAGCAAGAGTGCGCCTGTCTAACACCGTCGATGCAAGGACGATCAGGCTCACCACAGCCTGATCCAGAACCGACTACCAATATGCCTTTTACGTAAGACACTGAATGGGAGTGTAGTGCGGTGTAACACGCAGTTGCCTCAAACGGTCGCATGGCTCAATGCTAAGGCCGAAAGGGGAAACTGTCATGAAGGTTGTCAAAAATATAAGGAAACGATCTACTAAAGCCATTGCGACGCATGAGGATCATCATCTCAGGATACTGGAAGGAGAAAATGCGTTTTTTCCGAAATCAGGAAAGGTCAGTGCAGCTTCCGTCTAGTCACAGAAGAAGGACGTCGCTGCCAGAAACTAAGGTTCTACTGCAACCCGAGCTAACTTTGACCGCCATTCTAGTAGACAGGGAGCTTGCTTGCATTGGAAGGGGGAGATGGAAGCTACAACGCCAGAACTATGAAGAAAGAAAAAAGGAGGATGTGGTGGGCGCTGACGAGTGCGCAGCAATGACCGCAGAATGACCTCTTGCTTACTCACTTCGATATCCCCAAATCGACCCCGAATGAACGTGCCGATGACACAACCGCTCCGCACTACTATTCCAGGAAGTTCTGCGCCAATACGACAATCAAGAATAGCACCGGTGCACCCATTCACACCAGGGGTCGCCGCTGAGCAATTTAAGCGGAGCATTCTCGAGAGCAATCTACTTGGCTTCCAACTCCCAGACCTCTTCCTACTCTGGTGGCGCAGACTGAGTCATTGCCGTTTGTTTAGAGATTCAATCAGAACGCTGCATACTGTTTTAGGGGAGCAAGTAGAATTTTACATCTGTACAGCTCCATGGAAATATGATTAAGTTTTAAAAAAACAAACCATGTCTGATCTGCTAACAACCTGATCGTTTTTCAGGTTCTCAAGTTAGATCGTAAATGCGTATAACTTACAGTAAATTGGGACTCACATCTCACAAATGTGAGATGTCAGTGGGTAATCGTTCTCGGAATCTAACACTGGAGCAATGCACATCCAACAATCCTGTGAACTGCTGCACTGAGTTTGCATCCATTATACGCTCCGGCAAACTGTTCCAAACATTGATCACTTGCCGTTAAAAGCACAGGGGACAGGAAAATCATTTCAGATCTGGAACCACAAGCTTTTACTTTTGTTAGTATGTGCTACAAGGTGTATGCAAAGGAGGCAGTTGCCACAGCATGGGGAAGTTACCTAGGTGTAGAATGCGGTAGATCATGACGTGCTCGACTCCCAACGGACGATAGGCCAGGGTGAATGGTCCTATCCTCTCGCAAGTGTCCTCGTACAGTAAGCCCTGAAAAGTGGGGATGAGTCCGGTAGTGAGGCACTGGACCTATTCGACCTTCTGCAACTCGCATCGAGTGGTCGGGAAGTAGGCAGGTGAGCCGTACTCTAGCATTGGTCTTATGATGGAGGGTAAGATGCGAGTGGCAACCGCTTCAGACCAGATGCGGAAGGGGCGTTTGAGCGCCTAGAGCATGAGCAACTCGTTTCGGTATAGACTGTTCATGTCGTCCATGGACTTCACATCGTAACGTGAGAGTGCACTTTGGTCCTCCACGGAAGGTATGGGGTGTGCAGTTTGTCATCTAGGGTGTAGTTTCGGCCATCCCCACCCCTCTCCAGGCTCATGAATACTGATTTGGATGGGTTGACCGGGAGGCGAACTTCTGCAGACCACATGGAAAGCCGGTTGAGAGAATGGTGAAGTACGCTGCAGTCGTCGGAAGTGCTTCTCATCCTCCAAATTTGCAGGTCATTTGCAAACAGGACACACGTTGACCGAAGAAACTTGGTTACCCAGTTGATATAAATCAAGAGTAATGTAGGCCTCAGCACCGTGCCTTGGGATACACCACTGGTAGAAGGATACCAGCTGGTCAAGTGGCTGTCGACTCGTACGCGCCACTTTCGTGCAACGAGAAAGTCTTGAATCTACTGGTGCATAGATCCACCCACATCGCACACGCTCAGCTTGTGGAGGAGGACCTCAAGGTTCAACCAGTCCAACTGTGCATCTGATTTGCGAATCAGAATATACAGAGAGCTGTGGTCCAGCTAATGCGTTGATTGGGTACAGAATTGCTTGCGCAAAATACATGGAAAATACTTGTGGGTTCGTAAAGGACGCAGATTTTGTTGTGAAGATTTAGGGCTAAGTTCGTGAATTTCTCAGACCCATATTACTTCCATAGAAATCCAAAGGAAATGCTTGAAATGATATTTTAGCCGGCGATCACAAATGTTCCATGTCAGTTTTGCGAATGATGAGGATATCGAGATTCCTGTCCCACAAGACGAAATCCACCCACTGACCAGGTGCGCTTCACGCCTACGTCGAGATAACGCCAGGTAAGTAGAGGGATTGCGACAGTGTTCACATAATGTTAAGTAAATCTGAAACCATAATTTTAGAAGGTTTGAATACAAATCGGTTTTGGTAGGGTTTTTTATTGTGGCATCGTTTCGCCCTTGACACAAAAGCTTCTTCAGGCCAGGTGAATCGTTGCAAACTTGGCTTTATCCTTTATGGGAACGTAAGTTGAAGGTTGCAAAACATAACATGAACCATTGGATAATGGTGTTACAGGTCAATAGGTCAAGTGGCCATGCTAGTGAAACAACAAGCATCGAGCGTTTCTCATTGATCCACGTCACCGGTCGTTCACATGAGGCATTCCTTTCTTGCAGCTGCTGATCCACGCTCCGACCTGAGTTCGTCCGCTGACACCTTTTTTGACTGATCGGGTTAACACAGCCCGCCAATCGAAGCGATGTCCTTCTTCATCTGTGTGTATTGAAACCAGTGAGAGAGGGTGGTGGTTCTTACAAGCTGTCTTATGCTCTTGTATTCATATAGACAGTTGTCTTCCTGTCTGACCCACATAGTTTGCATCGAAATCTTGACAGTATCTTGTAAACAACATTGCGTCTTTCGTGGGTTCCAGGACTAGCTTTGTGTTTCGACAGGATTCTCCTCAATGTGGCAGTTGGTTTTTGAGCCACTGTAAGACTGAATAATCTTGCACTCATCTCGTAGATGTTCTTTTCCAACGCCAGTCCTGGAATCCATGAAAGACGCAATGCTGTTTACAAGATACTGTCAAGATTGCGATGTAAACTATGTAGGTCAGACAGGAAGACAACTGTCTACATGAATACAAGAGCGTAAGACAGCTTGTAAGAACCACCACGCTCTCTCACTGGTTTCAATACACCCAGATGAAGAAGGACATCGCTTCAATTGGAACAATGCAGAGATCCTAGCACAAGGAGAGACACGAAAAGGAAGAGAGTTCCTCGAAACATGCTACTCGACGAAGCACTGGATAAACATGGACAAAGAGAATGATCTAGTTTACGAAACGCTAAGACGGAGAGAATTAAAACAGCTTAAACACCGTCGTGGGCAGCTAAACGAGCCGTCAACAACACAGCGGCAAAAGCCGTGGCAAAACCAACCCACTGATCCCTCGTGTCTATCGGAGTTGGGCTGATCGGTGAACGTCACGGGGCACAGGTCGAGGGTG